CTTGCAAGGCAGGTGCTTATGCCGCTGAGCTAAATCCCTAGCCCCTACGTCTAATTCTTGTGTAAGCTACTTAAAACTAGCAGGAACTCTGAGTACTGGCACCTTAATTAAAATGGTGCATGAGATTGTTAAATTCAATTCTTTTTTCCCACAGGTGGCAACTTTAGATTTAGAAGATAGGGATAGAATCAGAGACAGTTTAAAAAGAACTCATAGCAAGGGTGAAACCGAGTCACCAAAAACATTCTTTTACGGATTAGTAAGATCTGTTTTAGGATCCTTAAAACACTATGCAGTCTAAAGTGCTAATGCTATATTATGGTAGCCATTGCTGACTTCCTATCATCTTCTTGTGAAGAACAATACTGCTTTTATTCTTTGTTTCAGCTGGTTTTAGCCTGTTTTGTATTATTTAATTTCAATATATATGAAGGTATGGACAGCTATTTTTATTTATTTTTTTGTTCTTTTTCGTTTTTATCAGTACCAGGGATCAAACTCACGACTGCCTGCTTGCAAGGCAGGCGCTTATGCCGTTGAGCTAAATTCCCAGCTGGACAGCTATTTTTTTTTTTTTTTTAAAGCAAGGGAAGGTTTATTTCTTACAGTTCTTTGAGATTTCAATCCATACTCAGCTGGCTCCAAGGCTGGATGGCATGGCATGGCAGCATTCATGGCCACTGGTTCAGAGAGTAGAAAGGCAGCACAGCTAGGTGGCGTTCGCTGTGCAGGCCTTCAGCTCTCGCCGCTCGGCTTGCAGCTTGTAATGCAGAGGTTCCCGGGCTGTTTGGAGTCTCTTGGCCGGGCCCAACCAGGAGCCAAGCAATATTCCAAAACTCCTCGGCGTGGAGGATGCTGGGCGGGGCCTGCCAGGTTCGGAGGGATTTACTTAGGCTCCTGCACAGCTAGGTGGATTATGTCGTGTTGGACAGCTATTTTGAAGAGAATAAAATACATGGTAGCCATTGTTGATTTGCCTATTGTCTGGTTTTGAAGGTCTGTAATGCTTTCATCCTGTTTTGATCAGTTTATACTCTTGTTTTTTTCAATTCATTGCGTGTGAAGATATGGACAATTATTTCAAAAAAATCAAGACACACATTAGCCACTGTTAATCTCCTGTTGTCTTGCTTTGAAATCCTGTGTCACTTGCATTGTTTTGTTCTGATCTGCTTTGTTCTGTTAGATTGTTTTATCCTCTTTAAAATTAAAAAAAATAAAGTGTCAATGCTAGAGCAAATTGTGAAAGATGACAATAGAGAAGAAAAATCAGATGGAAAAAAGAGCTGAAAATTACAACAGGAAGAAGGGTCGATACATGGGATGGTGAAATCTCCAGGAGTTCCCCCTATAATTGGGGAAGAACTAATGGTAGAAACAGCAGATGGAGAAATTCCAGGCCAGAGTCTTTAGGCTATCTAGGTCAGGGCTGCCTGGTGTTTCACATGTCTAGTTATCAGGCTGCAGAAAGAGAAGCAGCCAAGCAGGAAGAAATTCTTGGACCTTGCTTTCCAGTTTTTCTATAGATCTGACCCAGCTGGTAAGAATTAGCTGCTGGCAGAACATCAAGCTTTTTGACTTTAAGTTGTTAAAGGAATCAAACGGAGTATAACCAATAATGGAGCTCAAGGGGAGCTCCATTTACTTTGGGGATTTTAGATTCTGTTGTGGAGACTTATTAATCTCATGATGTGAGATGTCTTATCTGCTCCTATCTCGTCAGTATTTATGTTTTAGTGTTCCATTACAAGAGCAAGCTGTGGACCAGATTGACTGAAACAGACAGGATGACAGGGCTAATGTAACTTTGGAAACAGGGCAGTTTGCAGATGTGACCCAATGAGGCTTTTGAACAAATAAAACATATAATGAAAACATCTCGCCTTACTGTAGTGCCTGAGGACAGAGCTCCTGTTCAGTTTTTTCCTTAATATCTAGTAATTTGGGGGGAGGTACCGGGATTGAATTCAACATCTCATGCTTGCCAGGCAGATGCTTATGCTGCTGGGCTAAATCCCCAGCCCTTTCTTAATATCTTACAAGGGCCAAGAGAACCTTACACACAGCTTGTCGCCCAACTACAAGAAGTCGTGCACAGACAAATTCCTCATGCTCAAGGAACTGATATACTTATTCTTCAATTCATTTATGACAATGCCAACCAAGAATGTAAACAAGCTCATGAGAGGGGTTGGGGATTTAGCTCAGCGGCATAAGCACCTGCCTTGCAAGCAGGCGGTCGTGAGTTTGATCCCTGATACCCATAAAAAGTTTAAAAAGTTAAAAAAAAAAAAAAAGAAGAAGAAGAACAAGCTCATGTGAGCCTCTGAAGATGTAAACAGTTACATTAGGGCTTGTCGGTATCAGTTCAGAAACTCATAGGGCATCTATGTTAGCTCAAGCTATGCTAGTTCTTACAATACAAGGTAAAAATAATGCTAAAAGTGTTATATGTTTTAGTTGTGGTAAAAATGGGGTATCTTTGCCAACGATACATGTCTACAAGCCAAGGTAGTAAGTCTAACACCTCTGGAACTTCCACGAACTCTAGTCTGAGAAGTAAGGAAGCTGAACCTGGTCTTTGACCACAATGTAAAACGGGTAATCATTGCCTTTACACAGCCTAAACTATGTAATGAGATCCTGTCCTAAAAAAAAAGTTTAGACATTGCTGGTTGGGGAACAGAAAGGGGGCTCAACTCTTGTTCCCTCAAAGATTAGGGATGATGCCAATGGAAAATCAAGCTTTTAATCGGATTTCCAGTCAAAACCTCAGTCAGACTTACGCAGTCCAGACCCAAGAGCAAGTTTAGATTCTCAGAGGGATACTGCTTCTCTCACTCAAGGAACTCGGGGAGCACAGGAACAGAGCTACTGCCCAAAAGGTAAATCTTATCGGGGGCAACAAGCTAGTTGCTGTTCCCAGTGGAATTTGTGGGTCTCCACCTAAAAATACTACTGGATTAATTGTGAGAAAAATCTCTTTAAATTTAAAAGTATTGTTGATAAAAATTATAAAAATGAGTTTCAAGTCTTTGTAAAGACAATGGACATTTGGGAAAGCCTAAAGAATATATTGCTCAATTGATATTATTACCAGCATCTCCATCTGGTGACATCTATTTTTTTGGTCTTTTTCCTTTTTATCGGTACCGGGGATCAAACTCACAACTGCCTGCTTGCAAGGCAGGTGCTTATGCCGCTGAGCTAAATCTCCAGCCCCTGGTGACATCTATTTTAGACAGGGTCCTCAATTAGGATAAAAAAATGGGAGAAACTTCAAAAAGAGAAATTTATTTTACACAAGAGCTGATGGAGAAGCGACCCATGTATTCCATTAAAATTAACAGAAGAACTTATGAAGGGCTATTAGATATAGGTGTCAGTGTTTCTATAATTTCATCAATGGTCCCCTGGCCTGCTAAGTCAGCTTCTACATCACTGGTAGAACTCAGGTCAACCCAAGTTTTACGAAATGAGTGTCCCTTAACATATCATGGGCCTGAAACTCAATCGGCTTGTTTCTTCCCTATGTAGCTTCTGCTGCAAGAAACTAAAAAGAGATTTATTAAAAGAATAGAAAATGGGGGGCCGGGGGTTGACTCAGTGGCACAAGTGTCTGCTTGGCAAACATGAGGTCCTGAGTTTGATCCCTGGCACAAAAAAAAAAAAAAAAAAAAAAAAAAGGACTTATAAGAATAGAAAATGAAATTGACTACTCAGTCTCCTTCAGTTGCTCAAAAAGTTATAAGATATAATATATACAAGGTAAGGGCTGAGAAAAAATAATTCAAGGAAACCCCTAACCCTCAGATATTAAAATTAATTAGACCATTCTGGAATTAGGTATCAAAACCTTTTTCAAAGTGGTGGCCATCGATACTTCTCCCAAAAATGGCTTTACCCTTACAATGGAACACCTGTTTGAGTAGATCAATGGCCCCTCAGAAAGGAGAAGCTTGAGCTAGGAGTGGTGGCACATATTTGTAATCCCAGCACTCAAGAGGCTGAGGCAAAGGACTATTGCAAATTTGAGACCAGCTTGTGCTACACAGTGAGCCCAAGCCCAGCCTAAACTGTGTATTGAGATCCTGTCCTAAAAAAAAAAAAGAGAGAGAGAGAGAGAGAAGCTTCTACATCTATGAGTTAATACAGAAACAAGTTCAACTGGGTCACTTTGAGCTGTTAGTTAGTACTTGGAACATTCCTGTTATTCCTAAAAATTATGGCAAATGGAAAGTGTTGCAAGATTTGAGAGCAGTTAACACTTCTTTATGGCTAAGCTTTGCAGCCAGGGTTCCATCCCCTGCTGCTGTGCCTAGGGAGTGGCCCTTGTTGTCCTAGGTCTCAAGGATTGCTTTTTGACAATTCCTTTACATCTCTTTTTTTTTTTTCATTTTTATCAGTACCGGGGATAGAACTCATGACTGCCTGCTTGCAAGGCAGGTACTTATGCCGTTGAGCTAAATCCCCAGCCCCTTATTCCCTTACATCTTTCTGATCATCACAAGTTTGTTTTTTCTGCACCTAGTGTAAACTTTAAGGAACCTATGAAAAGATATGGATATCTTTCCCACAAGGGAGGAGAAACAGTCCTACCTTATGTCAACATTTTGTAGGACAAGTCCTGCAAAAATGCCAGAAAACAATTTCCTCAAGCAAGTATCATCTATTACATGGATGATATTTTATTAGTAATTTATTCTAAATCTCAGCTATATGACTTGTTTGCCTTGCTGAAAAGGCTTTTGGCCTTTGCATAGCCCCTAATAAGGTACAGACTTCCAGCCCTTGTTATTATTTAGGAACTTTATTAACAGAATAGGTAGTAAGACCTTTAAAAACCAAAGTAAGACAAGATCTCTTCTGACTTTGAATGATTTCCAAAAGTTGCTAGGAGATACTAATTGGGTCTGCCCTAAATTAGGCATAGCCACTTATCAATCAAAACATCTTTATGAAACTCTGCAAGGTGAACCCCAGACTGACTTTTCACATACCTTGAGTATGGAAGGCCTCTCAGGAGTTAAAGATAGTAGATTCAATGCTGCACCAACACTAGGTGTATCCTGTTAACAATTAATATCCTTTTATCTTGCATGTATTCGATATTCCACAATGTCCTATAGGATTGTTAAGTCAATTCTATGATTATTTCCCAGAGAATGGCTTTATATTCCTAATTAACTGGTGAAAACTTTACAATTATATACTGAACAAATTACTAAAATTATAACAAAAGGAAGAACTGTTCCATTCAGTTTTTCACTACTAATCCCTCTATAAAGATTCTACCCATAAATTTGACTCAAATGCTATCTTATTGTAACAAGCTATCTACTGGCAGGTGGATTTTGCAGACTTCACTAGACAGGTTGACAGTCACTTTCCTAACGATCCCCCTCTCCAATTCTGTCTTGATATTTTACCTAGAATAACCCAGTTATAGCCCATTTCTAATGCACCTACTTTTTTCACAGACAGCTCCTCTAAAGGAAATGTGGCCCTATAGAATCTAAATTTTCAGTATACCACTTGACTCCTAATTTTTGAGCACAGTGATCGGAAATAACTTGCATGCCAGGCATGGTGGTGCACACCTGTAATCTTAAGACTCAGGAGGCTGAGAGAAGGACTGCTGTGAGTATAGGCTAGCCTGGGTTGCATAAGTGAGCTCAAGGCCAGTCTGGATTACATAGTGAGATCCTGTCTTTAGGAAAAAAAAAAAAAAAAAAAAAAAAAAAAAAAAAAAAAATATATATATATATATATATATATATACATATATATATTTATAGCAGTGCATAAAAATGTAACTATGGATCTTGATGCCATCCAAAAGGAAGTTTTATCTATATCCTAACAGATTGCTATTTTTTTTTTTTTTTTGGTACTGGGGACTGAATAAACTGCTACTTTTGATGATCAGATTGAAAACTGGGATAAATATTCTGATGTACTTGCTCAGCTTAATCCCTCTAATTATCTCAAGATTCACATTTGGTTTATACTGCTGTGCTAACTGTAACTGGATTATGTCTGCTTGTTCTCATCTTAGTCTGCTACAAAGAAGCTCAAGCCAAACAATGTCTAAAGGCATTGCAGCCACAGGTCACGATGACTCACTTTCTACAAGCAAATAAAAAGAAAGGGAGATGTGTCAAGGACCATTTTACATAATTGTAGTTGAAAAATCATTTCATAATTAAAGTATGATTAGAGCTTGTCCAAGGCCTGATGCCTTGCCATGCAGGTCAGCTATGGTATTTGGGAACATAATTCCATGTACCTTGATGGTCTCGTGATGCTGTACACCCCAGAGCAAGACTGCACCAGATGAAGACATCCTGATTCCTTGAGAAACCAGTAGTTTCACCTTACGAAGGAGCAAACTCCTTCTCAACCTGACATCTCTCCCCACCATCAACATAAACAGCCTCATCAGCGTAATGTCACCACTGCCCTCTGCATCTTCTGATAATCTCTGATATTGGATATACCTAATGAATAGTGGTTAGCTAGCTTGGAGTGTCTTTTTACTCCTCTTGATGCTTTGAACTCCCAGCCCCCATCATGCATTACTAACTTTGTCTCTGTTTCTTATTTCATCCTTCCACCATATCCTTCATACAGGGAGTTGGGGACCTTGGGGGTTCCTGGTAAGTAAAGATGGGTTTAAAGTAAAAAGTGTGTCATCCCTCCCAGGCCTACTTTTCTTTTCTTCTTTTTTTTTTTTTTTTTCTTTTTTCTGGTACTGGGGATCGAACTCACGACCGCCTGCTTGCAAGGTAGGTGCTTATGCCGCTGAGTTAAATCCCCAGCCCCGCCAGGCCAACTTTTCATGGTTAATTTTCTCCAACTCTGGAGCGGAAAAAACCAAGGCCTTGCACACCCTATGCAAATTCTCTACCACTGAATTAATCCGCAGCCTCATGGTTAATTTTTTAATGTAAGTGTAAATGAGAGCAGGGTGTGTGGTAAATGCCTGTAATCTCAGCACTCAGGAGGCTGACGCAGGAGAATCACCATGAGTTCAAAACCAACCTCAGCTGCAGAGTGAGACCCTGTCTCAAACACAAAACAAAACCTAAGTATAATTGTGCTATATTCTCCTGCAGTTGCTTTTTCCAACTTACTATACTTTTCTCAAGTTTTAGATCTGTGCAAGTACATTCAACTGCTACTTGGACGTATCCATCTAGTGGTCTCACATGTTACCTAAAACTATTTTAGAATTCTCCCTCATGCAAAACTCTGCAGCTAACCCTCTCTTTAGTCAACACCTTTTATACTTTGTGCCTTCCAGTTCAATCTGGTTTCTATCCCACAACTTTATGAAATGGTTTACTCTAAATTTACTAAATGACTTTGTCGCAAAATCCAATGGACACATTATAGTCCACATCCTCACCTGCACGTTCTGTTACATTTAGTACTGGACCAGTTCTTTGATACTTTCAGGTTTTTCTTTCCTTTCTGTTTGCCTTTTCTCAGTGTTTTCTTTTTCAGCCTACTTTCCTCATCTCATTCTCTGAATGTATGGCATCCTTCATCCAGGCCATTTTACAACCACCTTTATACACACAAACACCTCAAACCTTTGAGATTCCCAACCGACATTGCCTAATATTTGTCTAACAAATATCACATAGGGACCTAAAATTTATTTTCTCCTCCAAAAACAAACACAAAAATCAACCAGACATGGTGCATGTCTGTAACCACAGCACTAAGAAGGCTGAGATAGGAGGATCCCTGTGAGGTCTAGCCAGCGCAGGCGACATAGTGAATTTAAATTCAGCTTTAACTACATAGCGAGGCCCTGTCCAAAAAAAAAAAAAAAAAATCACTCAAGTTAGAACGTTTATCACAATCTATGTCTCCCATGCTCCCGACGCTTTTTTAAAATTTAGTTTTTGCCGGACTGGAGACCTAATCCAGGGTCTCAAAGCAGCTCTTTTGCTGAGTCACATTCCTATTTCCTCCCAGTTTGAAAGCTTCACGGGTGTTCTGCTGTCTAACTTTGGGTTCTCCAATCCATCCTCCACACTGAAAGTAGTGATTATTTTTCCCCTCCCGCTACAGATTTAACCCAAAGTTTTTCACATGGTAAGCACACACTCTACCACTGAACCACACCTCCTGCCCCTTCCAAACCCAGGCTGCCCTCCAAAGCTCCAGGGATCCTCTGACCTCGGTGTCCTAAAATGCTGGGATTATAAGGCGCCAGCCACCACACCCGCCCCCCGGCAAGCAGTGATCAAATCTAATTGTTCACACTTCTGCTTAGACCCTTCAAAGCCTCTTTATTGCCCTTAGGATAAAGTTAATTTACAAGGCCTGGCGTAATCTGGTCCCTCATCCTCATCTCCATGCCTTGTGCATTACCTCTCTCCTTGGCCTTGCTGGGCTGTCAGCAGCTCCGGAGCGTACCTGCGCCCCAGCTCCCCGCCCCAGTAGAGTTCCCAAATCCTTCACGACTCAGCTCTGGCGACACTTCCTACAGGAAGTGGACGCTCAAAAGGCAAGCGCTCAAAGACTGAATTCCGCGAAAGAATCCCAATAGTGCTCCCTGCTCCATGTCGGGTTTACCGAACATCCGGGTGACCAGGAACAAAGGTCAAATCCAGATCTTGAACCTTCACCCACGTTCACACGACAGTCCAACCCCGGTGCTAATTCCGCCTTTATGCGTCATGGCTACCAATCCCAGAGTTTCAATGGGTCGCGAAGTCCACACCAGGTAACTGTAGCGCCACCTATATTTCTACACTGAAAAATGTTACACTGTCCTATCCCTACTGCCCCGAAGACTTCCTCCGGACAAACCTGCGTTGCCAGCTTGCCCCAAAGCAAGATGGCTGCCAATCTCCATTCTCTCCTCCCAATATGAAGCCATCCATTCTCCGTTTAATGCCGCTGCCAGGCTGCCCTGACTTAGTATGGCTACTCTGGCTCACGCCTCGCTATGGTCTCGAAGCCGCCGCTAACCGGCCAGGTTCCGGGAGGCGCTGTGCAGGATGCAGCCACCCCCGCCCCCCTTCCCCTCCCCCACGCCCGCGGCGGCGGTGGCGGCGGCCGGAGCCCGGATGCGGCGCCGTGAGACGGGACGGGAAGGCGGCGCGGATGGATCCAACATGGCGGCGCCGAGCCTGAGCCAAGAGTGAGGCGGCGGGGCGGCGAGGCAGTGGGGCGGTGGGGCAGCTAGGGTGGGGAGGGGGAGTCGAGCGGGACGGGGCGGGGCCGGGTGGGGCCGCAAAGGGCTCGGGGAAGGAAAGTAGAGGGGGAGGCGTTGGCGACGTCCAGCCTGAGAACCTCCGGAGAGGGAGGTGACGGGACGCTGCGAGGTGGGGGAGGGGCGCGGCCGAGGGGGGCGTGCAGGGGCGGTGGCAACCGTAGCAGAGGGCAGGGGTCGCGGAGCTGGGTGGGGGCGTGGGGAGGGGCGTCAACAAGGGCCGGGCCGAAGCAGGCCTGGGACATTAGAGAGGCGGAGGTGGGGAGTGGGGTTGGAACCGGCCGGATGGGAGCGGCTGGGAACGGGAGGGAGAGACCGAGGGTTCCCGGGGAAGGGGCTTGTGGCATGTGGTTGGAGGGAGGGCTGGACTCAGAGCTTGTGTGAGGGGGTAGGAGAAGGTGAGAACTGGACTTAAGGCGTTTTGTGGAGGGAGGTTTTGAAAGTGTTAAATTGCAAGTAGGAGGGGGAAGGGCCTAGACGAGAATTTGGGTGGAAAAGAAGAGAACGAAGGTTTAGGGACTGGAGAGAGTGTCGGTGTGACGAGCCAATGGAGAAAGTGAGAGACGGGGAGGAAAGTTTGGGAAGAAGGGGAATGGGTTGAGAGGACAGTGGAGCTACACGGGTGATAAGAGATTCGGGGGTTTCCCTCCCCCCTGTGGCAAGGGAGAGAGCCGAGTTAAGCAGCATCACTTGCAGCCAATTCTAATTGCCAGGCCCTTAGCTTTTAATAGGGTGGGAAGGGCAGAAGGGAATGGTCATGTGGGTTTGGAGAATTGGGGTTGAATGAGGGTTCAACTGGATTTGCTTTCCAAAAGGCCCTCTAGCTTACTGCTCCCTTGTTTTCCTGGTTACAAAAAGAAGGGAAAATGGGGAAGCTGGTGTGGAGTGTGGAGAAGTAAAAGAGTTTTATAGCTTTTAGTAATTAGCAGTGCAAGACTGGGGAAACAGATGCAGCTGTATTGGACCCTTGCATGCTGAGAAGTCTGAGAAGAAAACAGAAAAGACAAGATTGGCATCTGAGCAGGCTAATTCAGAGAACTGTTCTCAGACATTTTTTTTTTTTCCTGTTTAAGTGCTAGGAGAGAGAGGGTCAATATACATATATAGAAAATGTCTCCTGCTGAAACGTGGATGTGTGAGTGGATGCAGCCCCAGTGGGTATTTTGTTCTCCTTGTGTGCTAGTTAGAGGAGAAAGGGCAAAGACAGTTTGAAGGATAGTTCTAGTGTGATAAGTGATGGGAAGAAAGTGCTGTCTTTAACTGTAACCACTTTCTTCGCAGTTCTCGCTAAAGATGGAAGTCAACACTAATATTGTAACAAAATAGAAGGAGAAAAGAATTGAGAAGGAAGGTGAGAAAGTTACCAGAGGGTAATGGGTTTTCCTGGAAGCTGTCAAATTTGAGAACTTTCTCACCCTGAGACACTGGGACTGGAAATTCTTAGAGCTGGTATTATTTTGCCAATTGACTAATAGGGAGTTAGAGAAGCTTGAAGGTTTTGGTGTGAGTCAAGTCTTCATCTTGGAGTGGGGTCATTTTGATTGAAATAGCTTTAGAATTCTTTGAATTTTTGCGACTGAAATTGACTAACACTGTCAGAATAAAACTCCAAGTTTGACTCCCTACCCCATTTGTTTTTGTTTTTCTGCTGGCTTTGAAACTTGTGCTAGGAAGAGACCTGGGAAATTAAGTTTCTTCCAGAGGTAAGTCTAGAACTTTTTATTGTTTTTATAACAATGGAACAGAATGAAAATGGCATGAGCTATGCATTGGGGTAGATGACAAGGAAAATGAGATTTCACACACCTGAGTGCATTAAGATCTGTTGCACTCACTCCTCAGGTACCTGGAGATAGATAGGAGGGAAAAAAGGGGAAGCTGGGTGGCTTAGGATAAACCTCAAGTTTTAGTTCTTGTATTTTTGGTCTGCACTGCAAGAAACACTTTAACATATGGAAAGCTGTGGTAGTGCACTGTCTGCTAAATCTTGCTCTTACAGTGTTGCTGGGGTACTTTCAGCACAAGAGGGCTTTCCACTAGCTTTCTCTCCCAACTCTTCAGAGTTCCTGGATTCTTCTTTTGAAAACATACTTTGTAAACTCAGACTTCCAGATACTGGGTTATATTTCCCTAGTCTCATCAGCAAGAAACCTTTATCTGCTCTTAACTGTGGCTGGAATTTCTCTTACTCTTTTTTTCCTCCTGTGTAGTTTTCACTTGTTTCAAGAGATTACTTTTTTCACTTCTTCAATAGGACTTTCCTCTCACAACCTCTGCTTAAGTCAAGTATCTATAGTTTTCCTAAACCTACAGATACCATTCTTTTGGAGAAGAAACTAGTTTGCCATTTTCTTTTTGGTACTGGGGATCGGACTCATGACCTTGTGCTTGCCAGGCAGGCGCTTATACCACTGAGTTAAATCCCCAGCCCTTGATTGACATTTTTATTTCAAGACAGTACTCTTTTTTATTTCTTCCACATGTCTTTCCTCAGGGCTTCTGAGAAAGAGTGCTTCAGAAAGTTCAGGTATCATCCCTGGATGGGCCGAAACTAGACTGATTGGCCATGGAAACAATAGAGATTGGCCCATTAGGAGGGAGTCCTGTAAATACATGTAGATTGTCAATTGACCCTGGGCTGGCTTGGACTTTCCAAAAGAAAAACAAATAGTCGGGCATGGTGGCACATGCCTGTACTTCCAGCACTTAGAAGGCTGAAGCAGGAAGATCAAAAGTTCCAGGCTAGGGGCTGGGGATTTAGCTCAGCAGCATAAGTGCCTGCCTTGCAAGCAGGCAGTCGTGAGTTTGATCCCTGGTACCGATAAAAACGAAAAAGACAAAAAAAAAAAAAAAGTTCCAGGCCAGTCTGGGTTACTCAGGGCCAATGCTGGACTACATAGTGAGATAGTATCTCAAAAACAAACAACGACACAACAAATGTAAAACTTGTGGAAATACAATTCATATAATTAAAATTATTCTTGGGCAAATCTAGTGAGGGCATCATGTTAGTATCTCAAATAGAGCCAGAAAAGCCAGTAGTTAAGACATTGTTTACTGGAGTTTGACTCTTAGTCTGTAACCATGTTTCAGATGCCCAGTTAGAGATGTTTACAACACTCCTTTTATAGAACATTCTCCTCACCACTCTGATGCCTTTCAACTAGAATATCTATATTTTAGACTGAACCCCCTTACTTCACTGTCACAGAAAGCTGAGTATATTTTGGTTTATGAAGAGGTTGGTCATGCTCTTTTAATCCTGAAGATAGATTTTTAGCACCCTCATCTTAGTTGTTTGAGTGAGTTAACTCACAATCCTAGATGATAATTAAGTGGGAGAGCTGCCTATTAGCCTGTGTGTTAGCCTCCTGACATTTCTCCCAAGGACATGGCCTTGGGAGAGTTACTTTTGCTGTGTTTTGCCTCATTGACTGAGGTAGTGTAAGTCTGATCAGTGACCTAACAAGGAGGGGTTTGCTTCTGGCAAATTTTAGTACTTTAGAAATGGCCTTGAAGCTTAAGAGCAGGATCTTTTGCGTCTGTCTTGAAGAGGATGGCATTTCTCTGATTGTCACACAACTTCAGATTGAACTAGGTCAAAGTAGACCTTCCTGAACTGGGCAGAAGAGAGTGTAGCCCTACCACCTGCTCTTCATGTGAATGGCAACAACTGGTGAGGAGCCAGGGCTGAAGTAGGGTGAAGCTCCTTTGTCCTAGTTGAACTTGTTAAATGAGTTCAATGATCTTACTTCTGTTACCCTTTTTTCCTCTGGAATACTGTTTGATGGATTCGGTTTAGGAGGGGGGCTAGGATCTTCCTTCTTTAAATCTAGTGTGGAAAATGTGCATTCTTTTAGGTCTTCCTTTGCTTTACTCAGAAGGCTTCTTATCAGCATTATTGATTCTGTGAGCTAGACAATTCTGTGTAATAAGGGATTCTCTTGTGCATTATAGTGTGTTTAGCAGCAACCCTGGCCTCCTTATATGATGTTAGCAACCCCTTTCTTCTAGGCATGACAATCAAAAATTTCTCAAGACATTGTCAAGTATCCCCAGGGGCACAAATAATGCCCTTGATTGAGAACCACAGACATAGAAGCTCTGATGATTCCTAGTACATTGGATAATTTGGCATAGGATTTAGGACTTAAAGATGGCTATTTCCCCCTTCATCACTCAGAGAAAGCTACCCTTCAGGGACTGAGGCCCATTGTAGAATTGCATTCATCGATGCATATTTGAAACCACAGTTTTTCATATTTTATCTCATTTTCCAGTGGCAAAGCATGTGTGGACACTATTTCTCCATTTTCTGGGATGTACTGACATTTCAATAGGGAACTGTAGG